TTCACATATTTACATCTGAAAAGTTCCCGCTGGCTTTGTCTTCTTTTCTTTCCATTCCCATTTCCCTTTCTCTTCACAGCACAAATCCAGCCCCCTCTGTGCACAATTTTTTCTGTGCCTTCTGAGGATGCTATCGCTTTGCAGCCATGGTTCCCTGCTCTCCCTCCCACATCTGCCCCAGCCAGCATCTCCTTTCCCCCATGCCTTCTTCCATGACACTCCTCTCCTGCCCCCTTCCTTCCCTACTTATTCTGACAGAGGCAAGTATATACCATCCAAAAAAATCAATAGGGGGGAAAAAAAAAGAAAACAGACACGTGCCTTTAGAGGTGAAGTTAATCAGATTTGTTTTAAACATCTGCATTAAGTCATGATGAATTTTGCACTAGAGGCAGTTAATTCCATTGACTATGAAGTCCAGCTTTCTGGCTCTGAGGAGAGAGTGGAGCACTCAAGTAAAGAGAGGATAAATCCACTCTGGATACCCAGAGTTCTAAAGTTCTAGTAACAGTTTCTCAGCTTTTCAGTAATTTCACTCCCAATTTGCAAATATAGGTACCTGGGCCTGTAACCTATGCACAATGTTCAACTGGGTCTTCTTCTAGACCTTGGTAAGACTAAAACATAATGCTTTTTCTTTTTTTTTTCTTTTTCTGCACAGTATCTCTGAGATACGGCCACATCAAGCGATCATTATCTTGCATCTTTCACACTGCCCACTCCCAGTAAATGACATCCTATCCTATTCATTCAGAATAAAGCCATAAAAAACCTTTTCTCATTCTTCCTGTTTGCTCACCTCATTATAACTCTTCTTAGCAATGTATCTTTTACACCAAACATAAGTGGCAGGTCAAGAGCCTTCAAAGTGAAGACAGCTTTTTTTTCACCATACCTGTTATATTTAATTTATGAAGATGCCAGCCTTGCCCACTCGTTAAAGTCTCACATAATCAGCTGCATGGCTTGTTTGTTTTCTTTTTCTCAGCTGGCCTTAAATGGCCAGGGAATGTGAAGCAATGCTCTTGTGAGTATCCATGAATTAATCTCCTTCAAGACTCATCTTAAAATCTAAAAATTGAAAATTTTTTTTATATGTTGGCCATGGTTAGAGAGTTAATATGCTGAAGCAGTGCCTATCACATGAGCAGTACTGTCTTGGTGCTTCCTCCTGACAGCAAGAGGCACTACCTCTACCAGGGCAAAATGCACTGCTGCGCAGAGACACCTAAGTTGGCTCTGGGTGAATTAATTCAGAGAGTGGAAACATAGCATAACCAGCTAATTATCTCTTCTCAGAACTGGCTGAGAAGCAGAGCTAAATTACTTAAGAGGAGTGTAATGGTGTTACATCTGGGCTGGTACCAAAGGTATTTCTGGCACAATACCGTGCCAGGGAAACCTACACACAGGGCTCATGTGGGCTTTTTTTGCTGATAACTATTTCAGTTTTGATGCTACAGCACCAACTCTTCTTTGTACTGTATGTATATTTGCAAATATTTCATCATGGAGGAGGTGAGCGTGCCTGGCTGAACCTGAAGACAGCCTGGTGCTGGATGTGATATCTCCCTCTAATGCCTTTTATGATGGCGATGCAGAAATAAGCCTTCTATTTTTCATGCTACAAATACTTTCTAGTATAAAATTAAATCATAGAATCATGGAATGTTTTGGGTTGGAAGAGACCCCTAGAGGTCATCTAGTCCAACCCCCCTGCAGTGAGCAGGGACACAGCTAACTAGATCAGGTTGCTCAGAGCCCCATCCAACCTGGCCTTGAATGTTTCCAGGGATGGGGCCTCCACTACTTCTCTGGGCAACCCGCTCCAGGGTTTCACCACCCTCATTGTAAAGAATTTCTTCTTTATATCTAGTCTAAACCTACCCTGTTTTAGTTTGAAACCATTACCCCTTGTCCTGTCACAGCTGTCCCTACTAAAAAGATTTTCCCCATTTTTCCTATAGGCCCCCTTTAGGTACTGAAAGGCCACAATCAGGTCTCCCCGCAGCCTTCTCTCCTCCAGGCTGAACAAGCCCAACTCTCTCTGCCTGACCTCTGTTCATGTGACAATAAGGCTACAGGACCAGCTCTCCAGCAGCTTTTAAAACTCCTGTAATGGGTGATACCTGAGAAAGAAGTACTATGAGCTCTGTCAGGTTTTCCAGGCTATGAGTGAAATCTGCATTTTTGCAATTTAAAAAAGACAGCTTGCACTATGTGCCTGACAGTAATGGCTCCATCCCAGGGCATCTTGGATGTAGTTAAAGACACATTTACAGATCAAAATGGCAATTTCCAGCCCCATGCTTTTTTCCACATTTGTTTGGAACTTTCCAAAATGAGACAAACTTTGAGATCAGAGACACAGTGGCAAGCCTGCACTTTTCCTCAGATCTCTCCTTCCACTCACAAAAGGTGCCAGCTTTTTGTTTTGTTTTGGGGTTTTTTGGAGGCATTTAGTGCTATGCATACTCTGAATGGAGAAATTATCAGACTTTGGAAGGGGATTTTGCTCATGCAGTAACAATCTTAACCAAATTCTCACAGCAGGCTCAATGCAACATTGACTGTTTCTCTGAAGGAAGCAAGAATTAAACCTGCCCCTACTCCGTCAGAAGACATTCTGCACTGTGACAGATGCTATAGCTCAAAACCCCAAAATATGGGGTGTTATTAAAGAATATTATCTTATCTCCAGCAGGGTGGTCTTTTCCTTACAACTTATTCATGAACTTCGACTTCATAAGATATGTTGTAGTGTTTTCTTTAAGTCACTGTTTAACTGCACAATAGATTCTTTTTAATAAATTTGCTTGCTGGACTATTTATAGAATAAGAACACATGTGTGACTAGTTAATTAAAAATGTGATTTTTTTTTTATTTTATTATATTTTAAAGTATTTTTCCAGATTCATGCACAAAGATTTAAACCAGAGCTTTAACGAAAACTTGTCTCCAAGCTAGCTACTGTGGGTGGGCACGTGACTGTAAAATAAGACAGTGTAAAGTTTCAAGCATAGCATCTGTCTTAGATGTTACTGGGTACCCAATAAAATCAGGCAAGGTAACAGTTCAGTTATCTGAATAAGCAGTGGGCGAAAACACACAGTTCAAGAACACACTTTCAAAGCAAAGTGGTAGAGATTTTTTGGAGGTGTTTGCCTTTTCTGTCCCCTGAGATTATTATTCAGCCCACACAGCCACCAGAGCATTCTCTGGAAACAGAGCGCAACTTAGAGTAACATCCCAACATGTGCAAGACATTTTGTTCATCATGCTCTAGAGGAAACTTCCGAGACAAATAGGGAGCCAGCTATGGGTGGCCTTCAAAATTTGAAGAGGAATGTGTTAGAGTAGCACAGCCCTGGAAAACATACCTATAAGGGTGAGTATATGCATTTACACCTGTACTATCTATGTTCAGCGTGTGCATGCAATAGTCATATCCAACCGTGTGTGCTGGAGGGCAGTAATTACAGCATGTTGTAAAAACATAAGCTTCCTTCTCATTTCAAACAGCTAGCACACCAAGTTCAATGCCAACCTGCATTTTTCTCAGGCAAATTGGGAAAGAAGAAATTACAGATATTTTCAGCCAAACAACATGCTAGCAAAACTCTACCATTATTTCATCAGTTCTTACAGACTTCAGGTAGCCCAAGGTAAGATACGAAATGTTCTTTGCCATTACAATAGCAATGAGTAAAAAGGAATGGACTGTAAGTATTGAAAGCTGTAACACAATGCGACCTGCATCTGTCAGCTGTGCTTGTTTCCCTTTAAATTGTAATTCTTCATGTCACAGTGTTGAACAAATCCAAATCTGGGTACCTAGTGTACTAAAAGGTCATTAAAATATAAAATTATGGCAGATGCAGCATGGAGTAGATTTCTGCAACTTCTAAGATAAATCTCCCTGACCTTCACAAGAAAAAAAGAATCCATTTTTTAAGATTTAAGGTTGAAGAGTTCATGCCAAAGTTATTTCACATATCTGTTTTTGATTGCCGCAGAAGATGCACTTTACAACTGCCCTCCTAAAATCAATATTGCTGACCTTTCAGGCTGTGAACCCTGTCTGATCAAAGAAGCAGCCTTCTATTTTTTTGCTTTGTTTTGTTTTTAATTTGAACTGCTTTTATGTGGATGCTGTCCATAATCGGTGAAGGCACAGATCAATGTTTATAGTCCTGATACAGTTGTATATAAAATGCCAGCATAATGATAATTTCACAGTGAGGTATCTGCTGCACTGTTAGCAGCCCTCTATAGGACTGAGGAAAACCTGAAACATTTGTGCTGGTGCTGATCACAGATTCCAGAGTAAAAATAACTACCTCAGGCTGGACCGTTTAACAAACCACATTTTCCAGCTAAAATAACAGTGTCTGCATTGGTTAGGTTTTAACACCCATTCTAAGAACCCTACAGAAAGCAAACACGAGCTCAGGTAATCTAAGGACAAAGTAAAATCTGTGGGACAAAGATTCCAAAGCAAATAGTGTGATTTGAAAACGTGAAAAGGGCTTTTTTTTATTTCTCAAATGCAGCTAAATTCAGCTTTTCAGCAGAATCCCAGTGAAGTTCAAAACTGACCAGCAGAGATAGCTTTAATGCAGGGCAGCTGCAGTCCCGGTGTTAATTAACAGCCGCAGTCACTTCCACGAAACCCCACTGGCTCCTGATTTACGCGCCTGTACTGTAAAGCCTCTGACCCCACTGTTAAAGCCAAAATAAAATACGGTCTGTGCAGCAAACTGAAATCTCCTTGGCGTTGCAGAGCAATGCCATGTTTCAGCCGAAGATTTCAGGACTACTGTGTTAGTAACACCACACTGGGAGATGTGCTTGCGCATCTGCCGCTGTCATTAGATCACCCATTTGTTTGTATACAGATCTGCTGAGGCTAATTTTAGCTGGACTCAGATGATCCTGCCAGACTTGCTATCCCTCGCTTTGCTAATTATTGCTCAGCACTCTGCTCCAGCTGACTTACCTTTTTCACGGTCTGCGGATGACTGCCGGGGAGGAAGCAGTGAGTGGTGCTTGGGGAGACGTCCTTGTATCTTCCTTGCTGTGTTTTAGTCAGTTTGTTGGGTGCAATCCCATTCATGACTGCCGAAAGGATGCTGCTGGTCATGAGCGGAGTCAAGGTCTGGCAGAACAGACAGATGGCCACCACTAAGGCCAGAAGGAAGGGACGAGGGCGACAAAGCCTGCGGCACCTGGGGACTTGCCCACAAACCATGGCCTCTTTGCCGTCCTCACTTCACCCTTTGCCACATTGCAGATGCAGACCAAGTAGCCACGTCTTGCCAGGGTAAAAAAAAAGCCAAAGGCATGCTTTACCCAAAACTAGCGAGAGTTTTCCCCATTGCTGCTGCTGAGAGCTTTTCTGGTGCCTGGCAAGAAGTCACGGATTCCAGAGGAGCAGAGGCTTGGGAAGTACCCTCCCATGGGGGGACGGGAACAACCTGTGAAAAAACAACAAGTGAGCAGCAGCAGAGACCAGCGTGCCATGGGGTGTTCTGTAGGGAGCCGTAGCGATGACGCCCACACCACACCACACCACACCACACCACACCGGCAGGCAGGTGAGGAGCAGAAGTCTTCTCCCCCTTTGCAGAAGGAACTGCTCAGCCAGACAATAGTATCCAAGAAAGCAAGAGGTTAAAGCTTAACATGTCCTGTCCGCAGCTGAAAAGAGTAGGAGAGTGTACCAACTTCGTGAACAATCGTTTGCTGTTTTTTTTTCTCTCTTGCATTCTCAATTCCCACTTTGTTTTTACAGTTTCCTTCATTCCAGTCCTTTTAAATTGCCTCCTTCCTGTCAGCATGCACAGCTTTCTCTCGAAAAGTGATCATTTATCTGAAAACTGACAGGCTATGAAGATTTTCGTTTGCATTTGTTTTGCCCAGATTGCGAGTTCAAAGTTAGGTTTACTTACTCGGTTCTTATCCTGTTAGAAGTTTTCCGTTCTCCTCTAATGGGCTGCTGATTAAAACCACTTGGAACAACCCTGGCTCATGATCCCAGCTCGTCTCACACACTCAGAAGGCAGGCACACGCACATACACACGCCATCTGAAGCCAGTTGGACCACAGATTTCATATAAATAAAGGCTGGACTGCTCAGAGGGTGGGGCTAAACTAGCTCCGCTCCGAGCAGGCACGGGGTTTGGAGACGCAGCCTGGGATCTGGATGGGGAACAAGAGGTGTCCTTGCTCAGGCTGCATGCCTCGAAGCCACCATCACTGCAATTTTTAGAAAACTGCTGTTACAGCAATCAGGCCGATTGAAACAATATTATTATCTTGCAGGCAGCAGAAATCTGAGCAGCACCTGCAATATTTTAATCTAGATTAATGAAAATGTTGTAAAAGGAAGCAGATTTACTTGGGCATAAGCGTCACTGACAAAGCAGTTGTCAGTAATTTTCCGTAGTAGATATAATCTCTCATAGCAGTGTATAAATAAAACTTCTTACTGATGTCGAAGAGGGAAAGAAAGGAGGGCGGACAAAAATACTCCACTGAAAGCACTGAGTATCTAAGCCACAGAAGGTCTTAGTTACTACTTCCCCCTGCTGACACAGGACAGGGACGAGACAGATGGGAACAGTTGAGGAACCTAAACTTCTCGTATAATCAAGTTCTTTTAGCTAAAAATATCTGTATACAAGTCGTCTGTTTTATCTTCCATCCTTAGTTATATTTGAAAAGAAAGAGTTCTTCCTACACTGCCTCATCTATAAGAAATGAGCGTTGTTATGATAACCTCGAGCCCATCTACACAATTCAACAGCAGCAGCAGCATTAGCAAGTTGGAGGCCTATATACAGAAATGAAGAGTAGAGTATATATTTGTTAGAAGTGTTGGTGTTTATTCAGCTTTCAAATCCGTTGGTTTTTTCCATACTAAAACCATCGATTTGCACATATAGAAAAATGCCATAGAAATCATCCAACACCCCGTGCAGAACCTCAGCTGTCACACAGCATTTTAGTTTTCCATCTGGGGCTATAGCTGTCTAAATCAGACTCCTGGGTTACCCTGAGCAGGAAAGCAGTACAAAACTTGCCTGTGCCCTCCCGTGATAGGTGCTTGCCATCCACACAGAAACTCCCATCTCTGCTCTCTACAGAAGCGTTGCTCGGGCTCCCTCCTTCCCAGCCCACCAGCTCACATCCTTGGGCCCTGCTCCAGTCGGTCTGTGCTGCAAAGCCTCTGGCTAGGGGTGTCGGAAAACCATGGGGACCCTGCAGCGGGCTTCGGGGTGGGTCTATGCCATACAATGGAGAGGGGTACCCGGGGAGCTGGTACATTCAAAGGAGGATTGCAGAGAGCCTACAGCCAGCCTGGGAGCCACAGTAACCCCATCAGCCAGAGGAGACGAGCACAGCAGAGTTGCTTTATTGTTTTAAGAGACTGTCCTGTGGTTTTTGGCATGCCCTGATTTCTGGGCCCACAACCACTAGCTGTGTGGGTGGCATTTGCATGGCTGTCAGCTTCTCCCAAATCCTTAGTGAGGGGATTTTAGTCAGAGCTTTGCGTGCTGTTGCTAGAAGACTTGATTAAAACCAGTTTCTGAAGATTTGGATTAATGGTGGCGGATGTGGAGATCATACCCCCTTGCTAGAGCCCCACGCTAGAACAAAGCAATCCTTTCTGTCCTCACCGCCCGCTCCCCCAGCTACCTTCGCCACAGCAAGTAAGCGTGCTCTCCCCCCAGCCCAACGGCATTTTCCCCTTTCAAGCTCAGAAGTGGGGTCTTTATCCTCACATTTTCCCCAGAGTCTCAGAGCCAATTCATCCTTCCCGCAGCCCCCAAATCACTCACGACCCCCAACTCTTCAGGACAAGCTGAGAGCTTTTACTCATTTACTGTACCAAGACTGATACTGCAAAAAGAGAGCTGAAGGGTTATCAGCAGAGGGCAGGCAGATCACTGCCTCCTGTATACTCCCGGGGATCAGCCTTCTGTTCATCTGCTTTTCCCAGATGTTCCAAGGAGTGAGCTGGCTTTTTCCCTATGTTTTGTGGTTTCTTTTCATGACGATAGCATGTAATGCACATTTCTTAGGCTGTAAATACTTTTCTCAATCACAGCTAGAGTGCAATGAACATGATTTCCTGACATCTTTTGAATCAGGATTTTACCACATCTCTGGGCTTACATGTCTACTGACTTATCTGGTCACATTCTGACACTTCAGAAATTAAGCCAAGGCTATTGCAAATGGGGACTAATTCCCCTGGCATTAACTAGTCACTTACAAAAAGGATGCAAGCGGTTAAACAGTCAGGCCTCCTGGGTCCCAAACTCATGAGTCTTCAGTGCATAATATTCAAAATACTGCAAAACACAATCATCTGTAAGATCAGAAATACCCAGTTAAGTATTTATACTTGCAGGTGTATGTACGTATTTCAGAAATCTTAGCAGAAAGCTGCAAATCCCCTCTTTCTGGCATACAAAAGAAATCTAGTTTTCATTTTCTATTTGGGATTCCCAGACCTGTGCCTTCCAGTGGCTGCTCCCACTGCATAAATTAAGGGCTCTCTTGCCTGCTTGCCTCTCCCTACTCCTTCCACTCACTCAGGGCTGCTTTCCTGGATGCTGCCTACAGCATCCAGCTGCTGCCCTGCTCTGCGGGAGGCAGGGTCCTGCAGGGATTGCTTCTGCCAAAACCAACCAGCCACGTCTGTCAAGAGTGATCTCCAGTGCTTGCAGCCAGAATCTCAGTTCCACCTCCATCATCTGGAAGAGACTGTAATTGTTTAAAGATACCCTGACACAGAAAAGGTGAGAGGAAAGTCATGAGACTTGCTAAAAATTGCCATGGACTAGAATTTGAAAGAACTTTGCCAGTATGCTCTGCAGGCACGTAATGTGCACCATTCATCATCTCACTGGAGTTCTAAGCAATCCGGCTCATATTCACACAGCTCCCATTTTACACAAGTCTCGGTGTTTGTTCAGTGGTGAAAGCCAGTGACCACTGAAGAATGACTTCCATGGTCTAAGTAGCGACCTGGACAGATATTTGCCAGGAGCCAACCAAGAAGAAAATATTCGGCACAGAAAGTTAGCAGGAATTTAAGGCCAGCTGAATAGATCCATTTTATGCGTGCTTAACTTCGCTCAGATATCCAACATGAATCATTCTGCAACTCTGAATAAAGTTAAGTCCGGACATAAGTGCTTGTAAGATCAGGACTTGATATAATAAAAACCATTTTGCATCCATAATTTCACTATATTGAGGCTGCCAAGAAGAAAATATGGTTTCAAACCGATTCACAATTGCTATTTTCTAGAGCAAGTTTCAAATTACAAAGCACGGTGTCCTAGCAGCCATTTCGGTGATAAAAGAGCTCACATGAAAAGTAAGCTCAAACAGATCATTTCTAAATGAACTGATAGTCAAGTCCTTGTAATCATGTCTGTCATCTTCACAGTGCAAACCTATATGCAATTTTCATTGTTTATGGTCAACTCTTTAATTTCTTTTTTATTTTCTAGCACACTAAAAACTATGCCAAGGGCCATAAATTCTCACTAACTTCAAATATTGGGTAAAAGCTTGATGAACAATAGGCATTAATAGCGCTGTAAGTATTCAGGCAAAACATCGAGTTAAACTGTGCTGGAGAAAGCCTGCTCAGCCGCACCCTCCACGATTTTTTACTTCACCCTGAATTCAATCCAGATTGCAATTAGATTTGCAGTATCTTCCATCCCGTGTGTGGTCCCATTGTAAGTAGCGAATGGGGAAGACTGGCACAAGAGTGAAGAAAATAGGAGAAATGCTTTGTTTGATACTACTGAAGGATAAATTAATCCCAGCATAGTAAAAACCCAGACTCTCCCCCCTGTTCCCATTCATAGAACACTGTAAGCCCTAATGATATTGTGATTTTGTTCCACAGAGCGCTCCAGAGAACAAAGATTCACGTCTTAATCCCGTTTTGGCTCAGCTCTCTGAGCTTGGCTCACAGCGGAGGCAGACTAGCAGAGAAGGTTCCACAAACTCTTGGAAAGCAAAGCAGTGGGTGTCAACGGGAGAAGAGTTTAGGGGACATTCCCCTTTTGGTTTTCCTTCTCGTTATTGTTTGATTTTTATTTAATATTTTGTCTTTTGTAAGAGGGAATAAATGATGTGGATGACACAAGCAGTGTTGTTACTTATCGTAGGATTTACACTTTTATGTATATGTGTAGTTGATATACAGTCCATTTTAG